CAGAAGGATTACTCAGTCACCCCCTCCCTAAAACAAGGGTAATTGGCAAAAGTCACAATGATTACTCACTTCTGTAGGCTGTCGTTAAATGTGTTTTTCTTTCTCGTACCCTCACCTGTAGCTGCCAACTCTTGCTCAGATCGACACCACTGTGTGTATATTCATTCATAATTACCTTGCCTGGCTCAGAGTCATAGGGACATAGATTTTGGACTTGGAGGCCATCCTGTCTATTTTACATATGAGGAAACTGAGGCCCAGGGAATTTAAGTGACTCCCCCACTGATGTTGGCCTCCCAGCCTAACTTTAAATACTAGGAATTTATTATGACGATGCTCTATTTTATAGATGGAAGAACTGGGGCCCAGGAGGTTAGGTAATTTCCCTATCAATGGTAGTCTGTGACTATAACTTTAAATATTAAGAATTTGTTATGATGATGCTTATTGATGATAACTGGGGAAAGAGGTCCTGGACTTGCATAATGAATTTCTGGTATGGAAAGCCCCTTCACTGATGCAGATGGGCAACCCATCTGTCACTTAGAGTCTTAGTTGCCTGGGGTCTGAAGAGGTTTATCAGATTATCTATGGTCATATTTAAGCAATTATGTATGTCAGAAGTAGGGCTAAACTCAGGTTTTCTAGAATCCAAATCTGGCCCTTTATCCGCTATCCCATGGTACCTCACAAAATTCTTCTTTATACCAGGTATCCCAAAAGGCTTAGGGTGGTTTTAAGTATTTTAGGTATTGAGGATATCTAGTATAATAGTGATAATTACAATAGTTCACATTTGTATGGACCTCTACTATTGTCAAAGCCCTTTCCTCACTATAACCCAAAGGTAGGTCACGTAAGTTGTATTATCTCTGTTTTGTTGATGAGAAAACTGAGAGCTGGCTTCCTTGATGTCATCTGGCTGAGTTTCTGAGCCAAGACTCTTCCTCAGGCCCAGCGTGCTTTCTACTGTCCCATGCTCTGCCTCTTATCACAAGTTATCCTTGAGTTTTCTTAAATGGATATTCTTGTGGTATGCCTCTAGTGATCTGAAACGAGGACCCAAAGACCTTTGGGAACAAAAATGATAGTGTACAGAGGACCAGAAGAAAGATCAGTTGGCTCAGAAAGCCAACGCTGTGCCTCCCTGGGCCGTATACCCATGATAGGGTCACCGGCTAACCACCTGCCCAAAGGGTGTTTGGAACTAGAGCTAATCCTGGCCCAAGTCTGTGTGTTGCAGGAAATAACCAGGTGGGATTCAAATTTCTAAGATACTAATTTCACCTTCCCCTGTTATGTATTTGGCACTTCAAATAATGGCTGACTTTTTTTTAATATGCTTTTTTTTCCCTTGAAGGTAGATAGGAGCCAGTTTTTGTGTGTTCACAGTTGTATGTCAATATTAGCATTGCTGTGAACTTTAGTCTGGAGAGGTCATGCCCTCCGGAAGAATTTTGCCTCTCTGCCTTTTTCAGTGCTTTGGATAAGTTCCGGTTACAAATGGCCATAACTACATTTACTTTGGAAAATAGCCATTTAATTTTTTTTTTCTGTTCTGGATAAAATGATCGTCATCCAGTTCACTCAAGGCTTTGTTAATGACCATTATGCCAGGCCATTCGAGTATGACATGAAGTGGCCTGAAGGAGGAATGGGAAAGCATGGCTCACTATAAAGTAACCCTTTTCTTTCTTTTTAACAGAATGCAGTAGTTTCATTCAAAGAATTATGTGGACTCTCCTCTGTAGCAAACCTCATGCAGTGCATTCTGGCCGTGTCGACACGCCTACTTGGACCGGACAACACGCCCTTGGTGGTACTAAATCTCAGTGATCAGTACCCCACAATGGAGTTGCAAGGGATAGTGCCGGAGGTTTTGAAAAAGATTGTCACCACGTATGACATGGTGAGTAGCTCTTTGGAGTTGTGTGGAAGCCGGATGAGAAAGGCATTATTAGACGATATGCCAGATATGTGGTTGAAGTGTGTGTTAAGAACTACTTGCCCTGTTTTATGCTTTAATTCCTGTGTTAGAAATGTTCCCTTGGATATGAGGCTTTTTTGTTTGTTTGTTGTTAGTTTTGTGAGATTGGGTCTTCCAATCTCACCCAGGCTTGAAATACAGCAGCTACTTGTGGGTGCAGTCCCATTCTTTAGGCATGGGAGCTTTGAGCTGCTCAGTTTCCAACCTGAATGGGTTCACCACTCCTTATGTAGCTTCCTGCTGATCCCAGGGGATCATCATAATGGTGCCAGGCTTAGTGTGGGACCTGAGAGATCAAGTCCGCTGTAGCTCAGAATACCTGAGCTCAAGGGATCCACCATTATCACCTCCCATGTTAGGGGCCCTGCCATGAGATTCTACACTGGGTTGAATGATTTCCAGGTAAGATACTGACCTTTTGTGTTGCAAACATGGCTCTAGGAAGGGACTCTGGGTGCAATTTAATTCCCTTTCTTAGCTGGTTACTCTTGAGATCTCTTCCTTTGCCCAATCAATGGTTAGATTGGTTTAGATCTCAGTAAGATTCGCATGATTTTCCTCAATAGACGGGAGTACTGAATGAGGAGGAGATCATGGGCTGAGAGCTGAGAGGGGCCTCAGAGGCCATTGAGTTGTACTTCTTTTTGTAGATGAGGAAACAGATGTATAGAAAGTCAAATGCTTTGCCCACAGCTAGTGTGTATCTGATGTGGGGTTTGAACCCCAAAGCTGGTGTTCCATCCACAGCGATAAGATGCCTCTCAAACAGCCTGTACTAGTAAATGCAAGGGATTTCAGGGAAAGGTCCAAACAATTACCAACATAAAGAGATCAAAAACCTTCTACAAATTGAAAATATAATCCTTAATCATGTGAAGCATTTGGCCCTGTATTCAGTCCTAAAAAAGAAGATAGAATTCAATTACCAACCAGTACTTTTCCTGGACCTTGCTAGACTTCACAAAGACACACCAGCGTCAAACCTGAGGCATAAAGATGGGGGGGGGAGAAAAGATGTGGTTAGAGTATTAATGAGAGAAGGAAAGTGAAAGAGAGAGAGAAAAAGTGAGACACAGAGAGAGAGAGAGAAAGTGAAAGAGAGAAAGGTCAAAGAGCCCAGGGAGAGAGAGAAAGAGAAAGGAGAAGAGCGAGAAAATGGAGGGGGAGAAAGAGAGAGAGACAGAGACAGAGAGGAAGAGAGTTTATGCCAGCTGACGCCCTCACAGAGCGAGATAGAAGGTGAAATGATGTGTTGCTGTAGCAACTGCCCAGGAAAGAAGGAGGCCCGAGTGTGGATGGGGCACCTGGGCTGCCTCTCGCCCCATCTGTTCCCAGAGAAGGGTGAGAAAAAAGAGGAGGCCTCCTGGCCAGGCACCCAGGAGTGAAGGGGGATGCAGCATATTCCTCCTACCTCCTGGAAGGCAGGGAGAGATGGGAGGTAACCTGGGCTCTTCCCACCATGTCCTCTCTAATCAGCTCCAGGGTAAGGAAGTCTGACAACAATGATCTTCCCTCCCAAGAAGAGTGCTCCAAATTTCTCCCTCAAAACCAGAGGCAAGATTACTCTAACCACCCCCTTCCCCATTCCCAAGTGCTAGCTAGTGCCCATAGGGCACCGCTGGCAGCATCCCCGAGCTCCTGTTGGAATAAGCCACTTCTCCACCGGGTAGCTAAGCTGCCTTTCAGAGGCTGTCCACTTGCTCCAAGCTCTAGAGCTGGAGGAGAGCTCGGAGTTCATCAGGTGCAAGCCCCCTAATTTTTACAGATGACGAGACAGGCCCGGGGAAATTAAGGTCACATGGACAATGAGTGACCAACCTGGAGTCTGACCTTGGGTCCTCTGACTCCCCATCCAATACCTTTTACAACCATGCCACACTGCCTCCCATCATGCAGTGTTTTAAGTTATGGGCATTTTCATGTTGTCCTAAGGTTTACTTGGATTAACAAATCACTCTCCATAACAACCCTGTGATTTAAGTGCTATCATCCCCATCCTATAGATGGAGAAACTGAGGCTGGAGAGGCCAAACAACTTGCAGAGGCTTATCACTATTGACAAAGTGTGTTTTGAAGCTGGATCTCCTTCTTGACTCAAAGTGTGACATTCCATCTATTAGGGTAAAACACTCTGTTTACTATCGACCAAATGAGGGAGGCGTCTGAGCTCTCTTCCAGTTCTCAGTATACTGCACTGACTCTGGAGGAGGGATGGGTAAAGGATGCCTCTCCAGAATTGGTCAGGAAGGTTATTTTGGGTTTTTTGGAGGCAATCAGGGTGAAGTGATTTGCCCAGGGTCACACAGCTAGTTAGTGTCTGAAGTCGGATTTGAACTCAGGTTGTCCTCCTGACTCCAAGGCCAGTGTTCTATCCACTGTGCCACCTAGCTGCCCCCCAGGGAGGTTCTTATGATGCCAGGCTACCAGGAAAAACTTCAATAGGCAGCATGCTCCTCCATATTAGAAAGTTTCCAAAGAGATAATCCCATCAGACACGTGCCCTACTTTATCTCTCTAGGCCAGACTGGATAAGCTGACCAGATACAGGACAAGGACAAGGCATGCCCAGACATCAGAGTGTCTGAACCATCTAGGGGTTTTAGGGGATGGTAAGGTCAGAATGAGTCATCAGTATGACATGGCAGCCGATGACCTTGACTTGACCCCCGTCTATAATAAGAGAGGCAAGGGGTGAAAGATCTCCACCGTCCTGTCTTGGTTGGACTCTTTTCTGATGCTGTGTTCCGCTGCAAGGGCCATGTTTTAGGAAGGACAATGGACGGTGTAGAGCACCTTCCGATGAGGGTGACCAGGATGGTGAGAGGGCTAGAGACAATGCCATATGAGCACTGGATGGAGGAACTGGATGGAATTCTTAACTCAGAAAGCATTTAGCAGGGTCCTGATAACAGTCTTTGGGTATTTGAAGGGCTAACTTGACTTGTTCTGCTTAGTTGAATTTATTTGTGCTTATAACCCAGTGCCTCGCACATAGTAGGCACTTAATGGTTGATACCTGCTGTTGGGCCCAGAAGAAAAAAACGGGGAATGATGGGTAGAAATTGGTAGGAGACGGATTTCCGGAAAAACTTGACAATAGGAAGAGTTGTCCAGAAGTGGAATCTTGGGCGCTAGTCAGTCCCTCGCAGGCTGGCTGACCACTTGTCATAGAAGGGTTGTGCGTTCAGGCCTGGCCTGGCCTCGGTGGCCTTGCAAGTTCTGTCCGACCAGGAGAGTCTATGAAGAGGAAAAAAAAAACCCAAAGCAAAAACCACTTGCTTCCATAGATGTGCTAGGGCATCCTTTGGGTGAGCAAAGCCTGGAGAAGACAAGTCGATTAGAATTTATAAAGATGTGTCAGCAAACACTGTCCCTGTTCCCTTTGTTTGTTCCCTCTAAACAACACGTCTCTGTCCTCGATTCCTGCTCTGGCTAAAGGCCCTATGATGATGTTAAAGTTGTAAAGGGTTTGAACCTGGTTAGACTCCATGGTGCCAAATAGCTTCACCTGCAACGTCTGGATACGGTCGATAATCTGAGACAAGAGAAACAACACAACAGTCCATCACCTGGAGAGCCCTACATTTGGGTAACTGTTGGTGGAAATTGAATTATGGCTATAAAATATGTAAATGACATTTTTAAAAAGGAAGGACTTTTTACCCTTTTATTTTTGCTGTGATTTAGTCTAATCTGAGGAGTTTTTTGACCACCTGATGCTGTGTTTTAGGGAAATTCAATTCCAGTAGCGCCTATGAAGGGACATGGCAGTAGGCTGGGAAGGAAGGAGAGAGGAAATGCCAACGACGATTTAAATGATTTGTAAACTTAATCCACAGATAAAAACAGGGCTCAGTGTTCTGCATTCATAGACATCCTGTTTTCACTGACCCAGATCCGACTGGCTTTAACCCCTTCGGAATTGCTGGCTTTGATTTCTGGGGTCATTGTTTGATGAATTTTTTTAATGATGTTAACCACATCTGTGATTTCACTAGATTAGAGAGCTCCAGATGAGGAAACCTCTTCCCATCAGCCTCTTCTGTTCACAGCCCCAGAGAAGCCAGATGACTGGACCAAGGTCACAAAGCCAGCACATGTCAGACATGGGAGTTTAACTCAGGTCTTTGTGACACAGGCCAGCTCTCCACTCACCATACCATGTTGCCTCCCAGTGAGTTGAGTAATTGAAGGAATTAGTTAATCCCACCTTCATTCTTTTAGGGGCAGCACAGCATGATTGAAAAGAGTATCGGTTTTGAGGCCAGAGGATATGAGTTAAAATCCTGCCTTGGTCAAATACACGTTGTATGATGGGGAAATGATTTTGCTTTCTTGGGCTTGAGTGTCTTCATCTGTAAATTAAGTGAATGCACATGGAAGCTAGGTGGCTCACTGGGAGTCCTGAAGACCTGAGTTCAAATCTGACCTCAGACACTTAATAGCTGTGCAATCCTGGGCAAGTCACTTCACTCTGTTTGCCTCAGTTTCTTCATCTGTAAAATGAGCTGGAGAAGGACATGGCAAGCTACTCCAGTATCTTTGCCAAGAAAACCCCAAATGGGGTCACAGAGAGTCGGACACAACTGAATGATGGAACCGAATGATGAACCAACAATAAGGACCAGATGACCTCTGAGGTCCTTTTTAGTTCTAAATTTGTGATCACATGAACTGCCTTTTCTATGAGGATTTATGAGAGGGGCTTCATGAGGGGGAGTGGCAGGCCTTTTACTCTGTTATGCACAGCCACAGCTTCCCAAGATGTCTTTGCTGCACGCCAGGGTTGCTGGGTGTTAGGGTGAAGGTCTCTGGTCAAAGACAAGGCTGTATCCAGGCTGGAGGGTACGTGGTTATGCTGTGATTGGCCCTCCTGACTTTGAAAGTCTGCTAATGGGTGTTGTGTAATCTAGGTAGAACATTCTAGTTTCTAGACTATCTGGCTGATAATCCTGTTATGTTCATCTTGCCTTATTTTTGTGTTATGAAATAATCACGCAAAACATTCTGATTGAACTAAAAATTAAAGATGAGGAAGTTTGTACTCTATAATTCAGAATTCCAATAGCTCTGATGCCTTGTGCCTCTGCCTTTGTCTACTTCCTCCTCTCACTAATTCTGTCTGTTAAAATAAGTAATGAAAAGAGTCGAGATTAAATTCAAATCATCTCCACAGCCGTTTTAGAAAAAAAAGTCTTCTAATATTTTATGGCCATTTTTCATTGGAACTTCAGTATTCATTTTTTTAGAAAAAATATTTCATAGTTTCTCTTCTTGTGACAATATATTATCACCATGCAAGAGGAAATTTAGAGTGTGGTATTGAAGAACTAGTTAAAAGAAAGGAATAAGTACTTGGAACTTCAGTATTCACTTTTTTAGAAAAAAATATTTCATAGTTTCTCTTCTTGTGACAATATATTATCAACATGCAAGAGGAAAGTTAGAGTGTGGTGTTGAAGAACTAGTCAAGAGGAAAGAATAAGTAGTCAAGGGCTCCTTCTTACTCCTAATAGCCTCTGGTTTCATAAGATATTGGTAGGGAATGTAGAGAAGGCCTAGAGTAGCCTATAGCCTTTAATATCTGAATACTAATACTGGACATTTATGTCGCATTTTAAGGTTTCCAAAGCACTTTACAAATGGTGTCTAATTTTGTCCTCATAACAGCCCTGGAAGGGAGGTGCTATTTTTATCCACATTTTACAGAAGAGGAAACTAAAGTAGACAGAGATGAAGTGACTTCACCTCCAGGGTCCCACAGCTAGTAAGTGTCTCAGACTGGATTTGAACTCAGGTCTTCCTGACTCCAGGCCCAGTGCTCTTATCAATGACACCAATAGCCGCCTAGATGCCTTTAAATTTTTGTTGTTTATCCTTGAGGAATTCTATGGTTCTTGATCAAAACTTCACTTTAGAAACATTCTCTCTCTCACTTTTGACATCTCACTTTCGGAATAAGGCATTATAAGTGTTCCCTTTGTAATCTGAGGACAAAGAAGTGAAAAATTACCTACATTTATATAACACTCTAATGTTTGTCAACTTATTTCCTCCCAACAACATTGTAGGATAGGTATTTCAAGTATCATCCCCATTTTGCAGATGAGGAAACTAAGAGGTCAAGTGATATGCACAGCTAGGCTATGCAACCAGAAATATCAGTGCTTGGATTTGAACTCAGATCTCCTCAATCTTAAGTCCCACCTTGTTTTTCATGCCTCTATTCTGCCTCTTGATGAAAGAATATCATGTTAAAACAAAAAGACTGTGATTGGGGCAGCTAGGTGGCGCAGTGGATAGAGCACCAGTCCTGAAGTCAAGAGGACCTGAGTTCAAATTTGGCCTCAGAAACATAACTCTTACTAGCTATGTGACTCTGAGCAAGTCACTGAACCCCATTGCCTAGCAAAATAAACAAACAAAAAGATTGTGATTGATAATGAGCTCTATCACTTGAATGCTGAGAATCTACTTGAATACTCCCAGGTGTGAAAACTTCCACCATAACCCTTGTCCTGTAACTGCCACTAAAAAAGCGATGAGCCCCTCTGAACTTGACTGCACCCGTCCTCAAGCAAGAGAAGGTTCAGTTCATCTCTGGGCTCATACTCAAAACCTTTCCATCTCGTTAGGCCCTGCCAAATGGAACACATTCCACTGTCAAAGCCTGTAAGAACCCAGGGTACCTTCTATACCACAATCCAGCACCAGGAGACTTTGTCAAGCTGTGGAATCATTCACCTTTTTAACAAACACAATCAAAGCCATAATCCAGCCATTAGGCTCTTTTTAGGATTTTCTGCAAAAGTTTCAAGATACTACGTATATTCTTGTTCCTGAATGAGTCTTACTAAAATATGGAGGTCACTTGTGGAGAGGAAAACTGGGGAAATTAAGAGGTTTCATGAGATATGCAACATAAAAGCTCTCTAAAGAAGAAATGCTTTCTGTTTATTTGGCTTTTTTTCCCCTGAGAACGGAGAGCATGCTTCTGATTTTTTGACATTAAAGAGGAGGTGAGGAATCAGAAGATAAAAAAGAGAGACATGAAAAACAACTTAGGAAGTGTCATGGGTATAGTTAATGGGATGCTCCCAAAATGGTGAACTTGCTTCACTCCACCCAAAACCACCTTGTGTTTGAATGATATTTCCCTAGAGACCAGTCGTCTTAATGGATACAAAGCTAAATATTTTTTACCAACCTGTTCCCTTTGTTGTTTATTTTCCCCCCAAAATGAATATTTTCCATAGTTTCCTTTTCAATTTCACGTCCAGTTTATTGGTGGTGACCTCTTATAGTTTGGATCAAGAAGTGACGAGGATGGTCAGGCCAGTTAGCTGGTGAGGGTCGTTTATTTTATGTGCATTAAACAGTTTGTGTCTTGTAAGATGTTATTTGTCCAGCACTCAGTACGATGACTGGTGCACAGTAGACACTTAATAAATGATAGTTTATTACTGACTGACTGACAATGTTCCATTCAATTCTGGATCTCTCAGTCCTCTCTATTTACCTGTGATTTGAGTTGCTCAGTCAGTAAAAATCTCTTTATTTTCCTAGAGTAGAAACTATTTCTAAAATTAAGTATAGGAGATGACTCTTCCCCCTTACTTATTAGCTTTGATCAGGATTCTCCATAAAAAGAAAGTACCAACGTTGGGTGAGCTCAGCCTCATCTTGTACAGTGTTGATTCATTTGGCTTTGTTTATTTTTTCTTGGCCTTTTTTTTAATGTGCTGAAGAGATGAATTACATTTCATAAGAAATGGATTCTGACCATGTGGGCCAAACCAGAGATGATCTGTCATAAGGTTACTATTGATTCCTGCCTCCTTTGTGGGTTCTTTTATCACTGGACCGCTACAGAAGTCAACATTAAGAAAAAGTCTTGTAATTGGAGGTGTCAACTTTGCCAGCCACTGGAGTGGGAATGCAAAGATTACGGGCGTGGCTCTGCTGGAAGACAAGAGTGAACTACAAATTACTTGTGTGAGAAATGAAGTCTTTCAGTAAGGAAAGGGTGGGAGGGGCGGGGTCCTCAAAAGGAAGAGTCAGAAACCCACAAACTCTACTTTCAGATCTTGTGGCTGGATATGGAGTGACTGTCAATACAAAGAGATTTTGAAATACAGTTACTCTATCACTATCAAAGTCCCACATGCTATACAGTTATCCCTTCCACATCATGGGGGTTAAGGATGCGGTGCCCCCTGAGATCTGGAAAATCCGTGTAAAGCTTTTTGGCCCTCTCTTTGTACCAGAAAAGCAATCTGAATTTTTTCTTTTTCTTTTATGGGTGTTTAAATTATTAAAAGATAAAATATGTTGATATTAAACAACACTGTACATATATTTTATGCATTTCCAAGTTTCTAAACTTTTTCTGTCACCTGCTGGTTTTCATGTATCATCTGCAGCTTCTGCAAAAACTCCCAAAAAATTTCTTATGCCAACCCATGATTTATCAAAACCATAATGGGGAAAGTCATGACGTGGAAGGGGTTAACTGTTGTTAAATTTTGCTGCGGGGTGCTAAAGCTAGTTGTGCAAAGCCAACCCCTCAGCCAGTCTAATGGGAAAAGCTATGGTTTGAAGCCAATGAGTCAATCAGTTGACAAGTGATTATTACTGTGTGCCAGATGCTGTGTTGGGCAGTAGGGATATACATAGAGTAAATGAAATAATCCCTGCTCATCAACGGGTCACCTTCTAAAGGGGGAGATGGCAAGTTCACATATAAATATCATACAAATAGCAGAGCATATCCTGAGCATCACATCGGGCTCTTCAGCAAGCCTCCT